ATGATTACGATTACAGACCGGCATGGACAACACGAAGATCTTAGTTCACCAATGAATCAAAACTATAACAAAATGTTTCATAACTTTAACCTTTCCAAACATTAGAATATAACTTTTTCGAGAGTTCTTTTGCTAGACGTGTAAAAAGAATCTGCTCAAGAGCGCGTGGGCGAGATGGCGCGTACTGTTTGATTACTTACGCATGACGCTTTCTGATCTATTAAACTGTTCATTAAGCTGAAATCAGCACCTCCGTAGGCCAATCAAACTAGAGAATTTTCTTGGGTAGGCATGATTTTAAATAATAAAAATATTATTAAATTAATGACAGAAAATCAATTGATTTTTTCTTCAATAAATGTTAATTACCCTTTTTTTAATTACTCTTAGTTAACACGCTCTGGAGGGAAATTGAATGATCGTCATAAGTTGTTTTAATAAGGTATTCCAGTTAAACAGAATATTTTCCTGGCAATTGCGAGGAGTATCCAGGAACTTTCGAAAACTAGTTACTTGGGCAACTAAAGAAGAACGTTCTTAGTGCCTCCTTTTTCCTCTTAGATCAGTTACTAAAAATACTCCTGATTTGAAAAATACGACTGACAGTTTCTGTAAATCGGTATGTACTTTGAACATCTTAAGTTTCACATCCTTTCATCTCACTTGTCTGCGAGCGCTGCAATACAAATTGCAATTACAATTGCAAAGCGGGAAACACTTCAAGTTCGCTTTGCCACATTTGCAGTGGGAACAGTCTCCCTTGCATGTACACTTGATTAAATCTTGACAGGCTTTAGAAAGCTCTGGAACAGTTAGCCAAAGTGGGCTCCACACATTGTGTACTTGTCTCCAGCCATAGTCGCTTGGGGAAGGAATCATCTGCTGTACTTCGGTACTTGTAATCCAGATAGAAGCTTGGTAAACAGCCCTCTTCGTTGTTGTAGGAGGGCATTCTGCGTCGGTCGCATCCTTTCCATCGTGACGTTCTTTAGACAGAACAGTTCCCTCCTTGTCTGGTTGATTGAAAGTGAAGTGCTCGTTTAGTCGTAGACGAGGATGATCAGCCGCTCAATCTTACGAAAGTTCTCACAGTTGGAATCAAGAGGCTCAAAAGGATGTGAAGCTAGGTAGACAAAAGTGTCTGTAACCTCTTCAAACGCCATCCAAGCTTGCCAGAACGACTTCTTCCCTTTTCCCCAAAAAGCAGAGGTTGTGTCGCATCCAGAAATCGAGTGAAGCATTGGTAGTGCTTGTGACCTTTTTGTGCTAAGGCTGGTGGACAGAGCATTGATGCTGTAATGTCTGTAGTTCTTTCCCACTCCAAAAGCGACCCAAATATCAGCCTTGGGCTGTGACAGGAACAGCTTGTGAAAGACACCAGTAAGGACAACAACAACATTAGTGTCCACAGTGCGAACTTGCACAGTCGTCAATCCCTGCTGAAGTGCGTGTAGTACATGAACCACAATTCTTGTGTCGGCCTCTTCATGATTGCAGTTTGGCATGGGACTGGATGAGCATACCGTTAGCACTGACTCTTCCGAAGTGATGTAAACCGCCTTTCCCTCGGGGAATACACAGTTTGCCACTTTATAGGTAAGAAAGTCAAACAGCTTTTTCTTGTTTGATGAATCATGCAGAAATTCTGACCAGTTTCGTGGTAACTTGCTTTCTCCGGATACCTTTCTGTGGACCCCCTTTCCTCTCTTCTGACGAGTCGACTCTTTTAAACTTTCCGGTCTGTATGTGTCCCATACAACGTCCAACCTTTCTGTTCCTTGTAGATGACTCTGAAGATGAGGGATGAAAGCCTTCTCTGCGTATTCTTTGAATGTTGTAGTTCCAGCGATGGACAAGCAGTGTACGATGACAGCACCATCCAATACTTTACATCTGAATGTTTCAGGTGGCGTAGATTCATGTAGTGGCTCAAGGCATTTCATCAGTTCAGACTTTGTGCCCGGCAAATAAAGTTTACCGAATTCTGACAATGAGGGAGGAAAGGATTGGACTTCATGAGAAAGGAATTCTTCCAAATCCCCTTCACTGCTCTGCATTGATATATACAACTGACCAAAAAGAGACACATTATTTTCAAGGGCTTTAATCTTCTTTCCTTGCTTCGACTTAATCTTTGGACTGGGTTTCCTGAATAGTGCTGGCTTGTTTAATTTAATGGGTTCATGAATAGATCGTTTTCGTTCCTCCAGTACTTCTTTGACAAAGTTACTGTGTTGTCCCTTCTCTGTGTCTTCAAGGGTGTACAATGCAGCTATGACTGATTCATCAGCGAAATCTCGACTGTCTAGGGATACAAGATCTGAAACATCGGCCAAGAAAGGGTTTCCCGTCTTCCTTATGATGCTAGAGAGACTAGTGACCTGCCTTTGGAAGGTTTTCTGTGTTGATAGACCTTGCTCATGATTCAGAAAGTTTTGGGGATTATCTAGATCGTTATCAGAAAAGTATTGGCTCTCGAACTGTTTTCGAAGTCTTGACAGCTCTTGTCCTGACAGCATCCAGCGTCTGAAGACAACAGGGTTTTCTGTAAGACCAATACAACCCCCCGAGGCTTTCACGTTCCGGTTTTCTTGCTCGTGTGCTTGATCGAACGGAATTCCAGAGAATGTATTGGCCGTTTTCGAAATAACCCAGTTGCCCTGAATCTCAAACTCTTCTTTGATTAGCCGAGGCAAAGATTTCATATCTCTTATATGAACGGGTAGCCACATTGCGTAATTGACATGGTCTAAGGCAAATAACAGAAGTGCTAGTTCTTCCAAACCGTTCACGTACAAATGAAAGTTTCTCTCCCTGTGAGCCCGGACAAAGATGAGAATAAGAGTTTCGTATCGCAAAATAAGGGCCCAGAACCTTAATGTTGGACTTTTAGCTATCATCTGTAATCTCCAGGCTTCGGCTGTTTGGTCGTGTTCAAAGCCAATACAACTTAAGAAAGCTTCGCGTTGAAGGATACGCAAGGTTAACAGTGTGACTTGGTGGGCGTGTCTGGTACGGGTAAGGTGAGTCGCGTTCAACATCGATTGTGCAGTCCCGGCAGAAGTTACTTCAGCTTCTGATAGAGCTGATGTCCCCCCAGAGCCTTCCAGTAAATCTCCAAGTGCGTTCCAAAGAGCTATCTCTGTGTGCAAGCCTGCCAACATGGCTACATACTGTCCTTCGCAGTGAGTGGCTGAAAAATGCCATTGGACCAGCTTTGCCAGGGCGAAGAGTGGCTGATCAAACGTAATGACTGGAATCTGACCAGGGTTAAGTAAATTTGTCGCTTCCTTCACTACATCCATACCGTGCTTAATCATTGCGGGTGTAGCAGACTTCTCATAGAAGAGAGATAGCATTGCACACAAGGCTGGAAGCCCATGTGTAGGCGTCTTTTGAGAGGCGTGATAAGCTGCCCATGCAATAGCGTCTCCTTTCTCTATTTCTTCTTTTTTCAACAGTCGCGTGGAGATCTACACCCACTCATTTTCCACTTCTAGGGCTTTATCCAGGCAGACCTTTGTTTGCTCCACCTTTACCTCTGGGACAACAGTGTTAGACTTTGCTGTAGCTACAGCCGGGACAGTATTGTAGTTTTCAGGTAGCTGAACATGCTTTCCACTCACGGAGGGAGGAACCGTAAAAGGCGGTCTACATTCACCCGGCTTGTTTGGGGATGGAAATTGGAACATACTAATACCAGTACCATGGAAAGAGCTTTGTGATGTAGTTGAAGTGGGATTATGGTCCAGGTTGTCCAAAGCACCAACGGTAAACAGGCCTCTGTGCAGGCAGACAGAGGATACAACTCCGTCCTTGTCAAAACGTATGCATATTGCTTTGGCAATCCAATCCTCAAGCTGCAAAACCCTGTCGTAGGAAATGCAGATTCCCAGCTGGTGTAACTGATTGATAAGATGCTTACTTCTGGTCAGGCCATGTATGTTCAAGCCAATGTAAACAGGGAGTGGTGGCTCGCGCTCTAACGAATGTCTTGGTTTTGCCTCTGGATCAGCAGTTGATCTTTTCTTAGCGTCAAAGACTATGGCCTGGCCTATAGTGAGGCATGCTGGGAACTCTTGTTTCTCTTGGTTTTTCAAGTTGGATCCATTGAGAATTAAGGAAATGAGGGTCTTCAGACTTGATGGCAGTGACGTGTCTTGACATTTTTCCGGAAAAGATCCGTTGAAGAGAATGCCTTCACGATTAAAAATGTCTTTCCTTATTATAGAAGCAGCCCTGGCCAAAATTAGTGCGTCTTCTGAGAAGTCTCTTTTCTTTAAGGCGTCTTGAATCATGTTACGCATTCCTTCTTTGAAAACTAAGAAAGTGTTCCTGCCGTCCAACTGTTCTTGAGCTTCCTTGAAGTATTCCAACAAACGCTCTTTTAGCCTGGTCTTGTTTACTGATTTCGCATTACCTAGAACCTCCAGGCGACTTTGATATAAAGAGTGCAGCTCCGACAATTTAAACAGGAGTTTTCCAGAATTGACTTCTTTTTTGACATAACTTGCAAGCTCGACGAACACGCGGGAGTTACACACGTTTTCATCAATATTTTGCTTATCCTTGTTTGATTTTCTGACGTGACTGCGATATCTGTTTTTCAATTCAATCAAGCATTTCAGGTGATACTTTGCTCCGATCGCAATAAGGTCTCCTCCAACTATTCTCACACGTAGTCGCGAATCATTAAGCTCTGTTATTATTGTTCTTATATTTGCGTCTGTCTCAAATGTAGACACCTGGCGGAGATCTCCATCATCTTCTCGAGCTCCCTTGTCACACAAAAAACACACCTCACTGTTCAACCGTTGTCGCTCACCGCGAGAGCTTGTTTCTGTCGAATCACTGCTGCGTTTTCTTTTCAGTTTTGCTCTTTCAAGTTTGCAGCTGCTAAATTTCGCATAGCAAGGCTTATGCCACGACGCACGATGAAATTCCCAGTTTTCTGCAGTCTCATCACGTCCAAATTTGACTATCACTGGTAAAGAATCCATATCTTCAAACTACTTTACGTGATTAAGAAAATTCGTATATGCGTCTTTTTTATTTCCTCTCTTTACCGGATTTTCCAAAGGACATTTTAAAGCTTCTGAGGTTTTCCTCTGGCATGTAACACATAGGTTCCAGTCTATCTCCATGTTTTGCGGTCACAAGCTAAAACAAATAAGGAATTTCTATAACAATGTATATATACTACAATGTTGGCTGTTAATTAAAACTGAATTTAAGCTACAGTAAAACGGGCAACAACAAAAACGTGCAACTTGTTTTGAAACATTGCTGCGAAACGAGTTGGATAGAGATGTTTCGCGTTTTACCACCGACGTTCGAACCTGTCTTGTAACAAATAAGGTTGCGAGGTTTTTTTCGTAGGTGGTAAAACGTGCAACATTGCCATTCAACTCGTTTAGCACCAATTTTCCAAAACAAGTTGCACTTTTTTGTTGCCCGTTTCACCGTACTTTTAAGGAAAATTTCACTATAATTCATGATAGCTTGGGCCTCTATAGGTTTCTAAATATAGAAACATTGTCTTTTAACTGCAAAACTACAAGTAACATTGTATAGGTACCAGGTTATGAAGCACTGATTTGGTCCCAGCATAAAAGCACCACAACAACATGACGTCTGAAGCAGCGCCCGAGAACATGTTTTTGTTTTGAGAGAAATTATTCAAATTGCACGCAAAAATCCACGTGGATCCTCGGAGAAAAATGTTTAATAGTAATTAAGGAAACAATCTGGTGATTTTGATGCGTTTATCCGCTGTGTAACGTTTCTGCGAAAATTTGGAGTTAAGCGACCTGACTATAAGTTCAAGGTCTGAATCAGCCTCGAACTTATATCACTTGGGTCGACCTAAATAGGAATTAAGTTTGGTACATGAAAAGATCGGCGTTTGAACTGGGCCTTACCCTTCTTTTCGGCAATTTTCCTCTGTCATGGCGGACGACACTAGGAAGAAAACAAGCATGTCGCAATGCGGCCGCGACCTAAGTTATGAATGAACTCAGACATTTTCGCTTATCTTTTTTTTTTTCATTTCACCGATAGGTAAACCAATGTAAATACAAGCCAACGCATGTTTAACCCCGCCGAGTGTTGGCTACTCAGACAGTGGGTGTTTTAGAAGAAAAGTGACAATATATGCATGAACTCTTATCGGTCTGCATTCTTCAACGTTCGGGTCTGTCACCCTAATGCAGACTCTTATAGAGACTTGACTCCTAAGCAGATCTACAAGAAGCATGAGAACGAGAAGAAGAGGCAGTATGCATAGCAGACTTGCGGAGCTGATCGCAAATAAGAAGGGAGAAAGTTACTCAAGCACAATTTCCTGGATAAAAGCTAAAGTATCTTTCGCTATCGTACGCTTGGCGATAATATGCATGAGAGGCTCAAGATCCAGAAGAAGACAGCTAGACTTTGTTGACTCAGACCTACAGATCGATAATATTAGAGCCTGCCCGAATTATTATTTTTTAAGGAACTTTTTTTAAAGAATTAGGAATTTAGAAATACGAGATTTTTTTCTTTTTAACTTGTTTTCTTTTTATTGACTTAATTTAAAACTCTGGACAGCCTGCAAGAGTTATTGACCGGATCTGAGCGACAAGGAATATATTTGCGAAATCGTTATTGACACAGTGATTGCTATTTTTGTTTTTTATATTAATCATATTGTTATAGAGTGCTTAATTCTTACTTCAAATATTTCTGTGTGCATACTTTTTTAAAGTTGAATGAAATTATTAAAATTAAAATAGTTATAGCGGAGCTCCACCCGCGCGCGAAGCGCGCGCGCGTGGGCGGAGCCCCATAGGTAAGGAAATGTGGTAGTCTACCCATTCGAGAAAATTTGGTAATAACGTGACCGTACGACCGTCCGTCCGCACCACAGGGCAACCAATGTCTGCTCTCACACTTTGTAGCTAGTTTGGGAGCCCAAGGAAAAACTTATTGCACATCAATGTTGTGATCAATTGACAGCTGTCAAAAGAGGGCACCCGCTGACCAGTATCACCTGACCGTACTGCGGGCTCAAGTGTTCACCCATCGAGGTCGAGTAGTTTTTGAAGTTATCCGCTGACAAATTACCAGTTTCAAATGATCGTAGGCTCAAGTTCATTTTTTCCAATGATTGATATGAAATATGTTGTGTTTATGTCACTATGACCCCGCACTGTTAAGATTTTGATTTCAAACTGACCTCGGACGCGAAAATTCAACCATTTTTTTTAAATACAGGCGGGAAAGAACTTTTCTTACCATGGTCACGCGTTGGTCACGCTCTACGTCCAATTTTTATACTCTGATTGGTCAAAAATTGACAGGTGAGTTCATGCGGAAATTTATGCAGCATCATAAAAGTTTTTTACTTTGAGAGCAGAAGCTGACAGAGTTTTGTGTCAACTTGTGATGTATTTAACTGTCTTCTCCGCTGGATGTACAAAATGAAATACAGCTGCCATCAAGAGTCTCCTGGTATTCATGGCTGGTTTGTTTATTGGGTTTTTGGTTGAGAAATGCGTTGCTTGTCAAAATTCGGTAATCCGATTTCGGATTGCATCGTTTTCGTTTTCCACCTTGCTTAATGCGTAAGAAGGCCTAAAAGTCTCAAGCAACTGTGGCCTTCCATGATATCTTTCAGGAACCGAATCTCGAATGGTAAGCATGAGTAATTGTTGTATTTGATGTTTGTTTTTGTTATATCTAATTTCATGAAGTCGAGCACAGTTTATGCAGCAAGTTTATGCACGTTTTTTTAGATTTGAGTCAATGATCTGACCTAGTATCAGGTTTGATATAAGCTTACAGAACTGTGAAAAGCCTTCAGATATATTTTCTCACCGCAAATAGAAAGAAAACGTTCCGAAGAATATTTAGCTATAAATTTGGCTGTAGAAAGAAAACTTTGAGCGATTTTCTTGCTTCGAGAAGTGGCATCGTTGAAAAAAACAAACACCGGGAGGCCGGCTGAAATTACAGTAAAACATAATTAATTAACTTTTAAGTTTAAAGACTCAGGATTTTTAGAGGCACTTTAATACTTGTCTTCGTGAATGAAAATTGTTGTCTCTGTAAATGTTTCACCTAATTATCTTTCTTTTGTTGATTGTTAGTACTCTCTTGCAATTTTAATCGCTCGTCCGTGGCGTTTGTTTTCATCGTTCATGAACATCGCTTGCAGGAGTACTTTAAAAAAATGTCGCGCGTATCAAACGCTTTATAAGATTACAAATCGTTATAATTGAAACCGTTACATAACAAAAAATTATAGTAATAAATTCGTTATTATGTTGAAACGTAACTCTTTTAAAGTTCATTCAAACACTCGATTACACTGACAGCTCGCACTAGAAACGAGAACCGGCCGGCCTATTGAGTGATTTTGGAAATTTTTTTAACGGTTTCGCTAAAAGCCCACGATTGATCGTGCTGAACATTGACAGAGTGCAATTTGTGTTGACAAATTGTGAAATACCGTATTCTGTCCGAGGTCTGTATGATAAATTGTACGTACTGTTTCACCTCAGATGTGATGTATAAAAAGTATAAAAGGTTGGTTTACACACCCCAAGATTTGTTGGCAAGAATTTGTAAAGTAAACCTGTCGAACGCAAAAAAATTCAGCCTGATTTGTTTTCCTAGAATTTGTTTTCGAGGCCTTATCTACAGCTGTGATCAAGAGCCATTATGGCTCTTGAATGTGATCGAAGATGTTTGCTATTTTTTGGGTGTACATATAAGGCTATCAACTCGATGTAAGATGTTTCACTCTACAATAACTTAGCCTTTCCCTCAAAAGTCACATGAATGTGCCCTCAAGTTAACTGATTTGTGGATCACAAGTTTATTGTTTGATCTAAATTATAAATTTATTAATGGGAGCTTCGCTTTTAGCCCTGGCTAAATCTATATATTATATTATATATAAACTCTTATCGGTTTCACCGTTGTCTTGACGACGAGAAAAACGGCGAAAACATACCGTCCCAGAAGGACGACAGTAAAAGGTCGCGCGTGTTTTGCGTGACGTGGCATCTATCCAACCATCCCAGGCGACGATAGTGACGTATCTTAAAGTCGCTAATAAGGTAATTACCGTCAACCGTCAAAAGTGAAAAAAATATTTAAAAAATAAAAAAAAATAGTGTCAACCGTCAAAGCTCAGTACCACCTCATTGAGACCCTCTGAATATGAACTAAAACATAGACCTATGGAACAATCTTTGACAATATTCTTTAAATATTTTAAGGAGAATGGACCAATGTTATATGCATTGCGTAATTTATTCAAACTCGTGACACACTTTACAATCCTAGAGGCAGTGGGCTGAATGTAGAACTAAGCCTTACAAAGTAGTAAGTTCTTTCATGGTTAGTTCGTTTCCTTATGCATCAGTAAATTCCACCTGCGCCCCGCCATCTCCCCCCGGGCTACTGGGGGGGGGGGCATTTGCCTGCCTGCCTTGACAGTCCCGGGGGGGGGGGGCATTAAATTGCAAGTTTTGCGCTACCCGGGGGCCAGGCATTTGCCAACCCCAAACTTTTGACACGCACGCGGTTTCCTATCAGGTCATTACTACACAGAGGATTTTACTGTAAAAACAAGCAGATCGATTGGCTCATTTGTCAAGGACAGGAAAAATTGAAGAGGTTTGCAAAGGCATGTTCTTGATTTTATGCATGCATTTCTCCATTGCTTATCAAGCCAGAATTACGTAGCGAAATCGAGAGCTATCGACATGAATGAACGTTTTTTTGGTTATTGAATCAAATTTCTGTTGATACTATTTGATGAACATCCTTTCATATTTATAAAACAATTCACAACAGTTAACTTTACAGCGCACTATTAATTTTAACGTAAATAATTTTATAACAATGCTAAAACCATAAACAGGTGTCGTCGGCGTGATGTCTTAATTAGAATATAACACTATTACAAATGAAGACGTTAATTGAAACAAAAAATCGCACATTAAAATAC